GATGAAATAATTATGAAGTTTACAGTTTGGTACAATCTTTCCTATATATTTTTAAGAGCACCCAAGCAAGATTGTATAATGAAAAATTGACTTATAAAAGTGTCATTCAACTGCTCTGTGCTCACAGTTCTGATCAGCGTTAAGCCCTTGACAAAGACAGAACTCAGACACCGTAGACACTTTGTGCCCACAGCCAGTAGTTTTCTTTAATACCTCTTTTGTTTATAAAAGTAGAGGCAGGGACAAAAGCGAAGGCTCTGAGCAAAGTTGCAGTAATTCCTTGAAAATGGGAGTATTTTTCTTCTAGAAAGCTCCTAAACCTCTTTTTCATATAGAATTGGAGGGTCAATTAAAAATTTAACGGGACTTTATACAGCTGTTACAAAAACCTATAAAGTTTCACTATCTGCCTAGATTTGGGGGATTCTGTGACACTTTTTGCTCTGTTCAAGGTTTCATCCGCAAGCTTGCTAAGGATGGCTTTGTTCTTCCCAAAGCCCCCTCCTTGTTAAGCAAGCCAGTCTCCATTTGCTTCTGCAAGCATCATTTTCCTATTAGAAATGATGTTTTTATTACTCTCCTATCATGCTGAGCAGTGGGGGATATTACTTCTCCAACAGCTGGAGTGCAAGGCCTCTTACCCTGTGGGGATTTGGCAGTTACCAGTCGCAAACTAAGTGGAGCAGTGAGCAAGCTCTGCAAAGAGGATGTCTTTACTGTCGGCTAATAGCACACAGATCACCCCATTCCTGCAGAACTCAAACCAGGCCACTATTTTGCTTTTTAAGAGACAATAGGTCTCTTTCTCCCCTCCTCCAAAATAAGCCAGGCACAATAGCTCCAAAATGAAAACCTTTTGTGTGCGCATATTATTTGATTTCAAGCTGCCTAGAGTATAATGATGATTTTTTTTTTCAGCTCCTTGTGGCAGCTGCCAGCTTTTCTGACAGCCTGTGCAAGGAGATGGGAGGACTGAATAGCTTTGTGTGTGCTATTTGCTATGATTTGGAAAAAAAGAAGAAAAAAAAAACTTTCAAAAGACTGTTTAAGAAATTGCTGCCAGCCCTCCTGGTAACCCTACTGCATTTTCCTTATGGAAGGAAGTTCAGTAGGGAGAGCCACCACTCTCAGCTTCAGAGAACACTAACCTATTCTGTGCTGCGACAGAAACTTGCAAAGCCTGGGGGAAACTCTGGAGATAGAATGAGGAAAAAAAAACACACAGCCTCTCAGAAACGACAGAAGGACTCTGCTCAAAGTCCTGTGAAAACATTAGTATTGAGAAAAGATTAAAACTCATAAAGCTCATTTATTTTCCTCTCATCCTTTTTCCTACCTCAGTCCTTTTATAAGAGAGAAGCTCCTGGACCTCACCTTTCATACAGCCCCTGTGTGTGGTTACCACCAAATGTGAGTGATCACTGGGACTTCCTCAGAGGTCTGGCCATTTAAGAAGCTCTGCAGGGTTTTACTTCTTATTTCTTTTTTGTGGGGAAAGCTCTTTTGATGTCTTATACATAAGTACTAGCTAGGAAGGAAATTAAATATAGGAGTTTTATGTTGCTATTGTTTACTTTTGCTTAAGCTTTTTTAAAGTTGTACCATATATTTACGAAAACTTTTCAAATAAATTAAGCTTTGCTGTAGGTTGCCCTGGTAAAAGCGTAGTGAACAACAGCTGCTGAACTACTAGATAACTATGTTCAGATAGGCCACCACGGGAATGAATCCCTGGGCTTGCAGGATCGAAGACTACGCCTGAGACTTAATACAGTTTCCCTTTCTTCTCATGGGATGAGCTCTGTGTTGTGTTTGTGACACTTGAGGGCTGTGAGCTTGTGAAAAAACAATCTCAAATCTTGCTAGACCGATACATCTCACCATAAAACTTTATGTTTCCTTAATGCTTTTGGACTTGTGGCTAGTTTCTGTCTCATCGGGAAGGCTGGAAGTCCAGCCCAGGGGAGGTCCTGTAACTGCAGACACCTTTTCTTTCTAGCTAAAAGACTGATAGTTCTCTGTATCTTGCACTATTGAAGAGGTCTGTGGTTTCCTCGCTTGTCCTGCTCTGGCAAACTCTTTGCATTCATGTAGGCACACGGCTTCTTTCCTTGTTAGCTAACATACCTGTGGCAAATCCTAGTGCAGGGATTTCTCCAGGCACAGGGTGTCCCGCTAACTTTCCGAAGCTCCAAGTCACCTCGATAGTGCAACTCCTTGCACAAAACCACCTCTCAGGCTTCGCAAAGCAGACCCTAGTCTCTCTGCAGATGATGAAACTAAAGCCCAGAAAGCTGCAGACAGGATCAAAGGAGATGACAGTAGTATGCTTTGAGGTACACGGCCCAAACTTTCAGGAACCCAGGTATCTGTACAAATGGCTTTGAAAATCCATGCTGCAGCTGTCAGAAGTATTGAATATTTTGGGGTAGAGATCTGAGAGCTGTGGCATCTTTTAGTCAGCAAAAATGACCATGTTCTCAATGATAGGATGTCACAGAGGCCTGCAATGCAGTATCTCAGCCTCTTGGAGCCAGCTGGAAGATTTCACCTTTAAACTCGTACATGCTGGCCCTTGCTCCTAGGAAAGCCATTCATCGTGGCACTTCATCCCCAGGCAGAACAGAGTAGGGACTTCACTGGCTTCACTTTTCTGCCATGTCATAAGAGTTGGACAGGATGGATTTTGGATTCTGGCACACGAATCCTTTACCAAAGATCAGACATCTGCCTTTCAAACAGATTGCTGGCCGCTGAATCCAAGGGCTGCGTCTGAACTGTATTTACAAGGACTGAATTAAAGGCGTTGAATACCTGTGAATAAACTGCCTTAGTGGGCTATAAAAATAAAATAAAATATAAAAAATAAAAATAAACTTTCCAGAGAAACTGAGGCCATACCTACACCATGAAAGAGGGTTCTGTATTCAGCTTTAACATGTGGCTGACCCAGGCAGGTGATGGAGTACACCTCTAGAAAGCATCCGCCTACCTTTTTATGGCACTAGACTTCAGCTTTGCTCTCCCTAAGGCTCCAAAACCTACCACCTCAAGTTGGGCATATGTAAGCAAAGCAGAACTGGGGAAATTAATTCTGGGGAAAGGAAGAAGATCCTTTGCAAAGAGTTTTTGGTTCTAGCTTTGTCCTGCTTGGAGAGAAGAGAGAATCCAAAGGTAGGGTATTGCTCTGTCCCATCTTTCACAATGAGAACAGAATTTAAGAGTGTTCCAGCTCACAGCACTGGAGCTGAACGCTTTTAGCCTTGCTGAATCCCCAGCTCCAGCAGCTTTTAGCTCAGGCCTATCTGCAGCAAGAGTTCCCAGAGCTCTCAAGCTAGAGCTGCCGCTCCTCACGGCATGCTGTCACAGCCCAAGCCAGGGGCCTCCTGCCTCGTGATTGCTGATTTCAGTTCATTTCTCTGATTTACAGTTTCCTGATTTGCAGGTTGTTAAAATACTTGTAAAAAACATTGGTCTGGAAAATGTTCCTAAATAATTATGTTGATGACTAAAAATCAGCCTGAAAGGGCTTTAATTCATAGCAGCTTATACAATAAGGGAGATTTAGGGAGAGCTTTTATTCTCAACTCATATTTTTAATGTTTCATTCATGTTCATATCCTGTACTACAGACCCCAAAGTGAGTTTATATGGCTAAACCCTGATTCTATAGTCAGGAACTAGTTCGTTCTCTGGAAAACCTTTCTTAAGCAAATAAATTCTTCTATCTGAAGGTTAGTGTTGTGTTTATGTTCTGGAAACTTGTGGGGAATTAAGAGTCCTTTTCCTTTTGGAGGGGGATTGTGGGAATCGAAAGGTTACTGTAAAACAGGCTGGTTGAGCATCAGGGAGAAACTGAGGTCAAGAGCCTGCCCTGTTTATTCACCGTAGGTAGAGATCGTGGCTGTCCGAGAAAGGGGATTTGTGCAGTCCAGCCTGCAACGTCCTAGATTTGCAAATGAGCAAAACACATCCCTGACTATTTTCCCTGTCACTTTTGGTACTGAGAGGAGAGAGATCTGTTGTCATTAGCCCAGGCTAATGTTTGGGCCTGCAATAGTGTCATCCTAAGTCTCAAGTTTCTTATTTAACCAGTCCCAGCTGTGTCAAATCTGGCCTGCAACAGAACTGGAAGCTGGAATTAACCATTGAACCTCCCAAACGATATGACTGATTGACTCTATTGTAAGGTCTCATTAGGAACATTTTGACATGTCTTCTGCTGGAAAATGTCTTAGTTAAAACTCCACAGAAATGTGTCTATTGCTTAATGCCAAGACAACTCAGAATATCTTAAAGGAGGCCTGGCCGGGGTGGAAGATGGGCTTTACCACAGCCCAAGGGAATAAGTTTAGTCTATTGTGAGCTGTTTCTGGTTTTGTAATGACTCTCAGCAGGGAAAATGCTTGAGATTCCCAGTTTTCAGGGAATGAGAGAAACATTCTCCATTCAGCTCTGTTTGCAAGTCTCATGTTATTTAAAGGCCTCAGCTTGCAGCATGGGAAGTTAACACAAATATCTGGCTACATTCAAATGAGCTTTTTTAAGTGGGGTGGAGCAGTTTCTGCATTAGTGCAATGGAGAATGACCAGAGTTTGTGTGTCACAATGTAATGGAGGTATCGGAGGTATCCTCATGCAGGTCAAGGCGTGGGTGTTCATGTGCCTCCTTGTGCATATGAGCCGTGTGACAGGCACTGCCCTGGTGTCAGAGGCTCAGGTGAGATGTTACTTGCTCACAAAGAAACAGGACTTCTGGAGGTCTTGCTAACACAGCTTTCCTACAAGTTTGGATCTTGATAATAGCCTAATGTATTAACAGGAACTTTAAAAAAAAAAAAAAAAAAAAAAGACCCTGTTTGATTAGTGCAGGTGTTTGCTTGGTCTGCCAAGAGGTCAGCATGAGGGATTGTAGCTGTTTTCAGCTGAAACTAATTACCTTGAAGAGTGAAGTAACTAGAGCTAGAAAAACACTGTCTCCTAGTACATTAGAAAGTCAGATGTGCCCAACATTTGCATTTGTCAGGACAGATCTATATAAGATGACCTACCACCTGCCATGACTTGCTAGACTTCTCTTTGTAGAATGGTGTATCATCATCCATGTCCTGCTGTCAGAAAACATTTGTCAGCCAACATTTGCTTTGTTTCATCCTTACTTTTAGTTCTCATCACACCACCTTGTGCATAACAAGGACATCCTGACATACTATGCTAGCTTCTTGAAGACTGCTGCAATAAGATGCTCCTGTAATGAGCACCTTCAACAGGAAGGTAGTCTATAGGTAAGATATTCCTGAGATGTGTCTGTCACAGCCCTTCTGAAGCTGCAAATCAATTTTATGGTACTGAGGCAGTTTATGGGGTCAATTCTGCTGCACAGTCATCTCAGAATGAAAGCAAGGTCTGGGTTAACTGTAAGAGAGTCTACAACCTTCATTTATGCAGTGTGTGCAGAGCCATGTAGCAGCATTCCTTGAGGGGAGAAGAGTTGAATGATTCAATCCGTTAGACTACATCTACAGAGAGTAAGAAATTAAGGAGTTATAGCCTTCATATGCTTTAAGTGCTCTGTAACTAAGCAGAGCTGCAAGCAATCAGCTTGGAAAACAGTACCTTGAAGGAATGTCCTTTGGTGCTCTACTGAGGTTCTGAGAGGGGAAAAAAAGACTTTATTTACCACTGGAATTGATGAAGCCATGAAGAAACAATGTCTTGATCAAAAGATTTTATCAAATTTTGGAATGAAAGACAGTTGAATGGTGGAAGATGACCTAGTTCTAGGAAGGAAGAAGGTATGATGTTTTAAGAATTGCTATATCGTGGCTAAAAAGGTTATGATGGGCAGAATGGAAGAGAAGAGCTACAGCTTATTAGTAATCCAAGATTAATTTGGAAACTAGAGGCACCTATTTATGAGGGACAGACGTGTAAGTTATGATACTTGTAGTGCAAGATCAACTGATCTACATGAACACAGTGCTAAAATCAGCAAGTTCCATCATTTCCTTCAGCTATTTCCATTGCTGGAAACAGTTGAATTTAGTCCTCTCCTTGTACGCAGGTGAGGATGAGACTATGGCATTAGTTGGTGTTGGATGAAGTGTGGATTTTACCACTGAAGTAGAGAAGTTTATGCTGCACTTTGCTCTACCAGAGCTTTTGCCACTTATATCCCTTAAGGGATCCTTCAAGGAATTAGCAAGCAGGATGCAACACAGACTGAGGTCGAGAGTTTTTAAAAGTCATTTCCACTTTGTTATTAGCATGTGTAAATATTGGATTTTATGATTTCCTCTTGATTTTTATGACTATTGCAGATTATTCAAAGAAAAACTGAAAATGTAATTTATTGCCTGAGTTAGTTTTGTTTTTTAAACCTGTAACATTTTAAAGCATCATGAAGAGTTCTGGTTCATAATCACAACAGGGAGAATGGGGAAAAAAGCAGTTCACAAGTCTAAACACCACCATAAACGGAGGTGTAGGAGTCCACTTGGGGCTGTAAGGTCAGTTACGGCGCTGAGAGCCCAGTGAAAATGTCCTGTAACTACTAACAGAAGTACCTCAAAAGTCTGCCAGCTTGGTTAAGGCTCCCTGCCCTCTTCAGGTGACCTTCTATAACTAGGCTGATGATGTCCTGATAACAGTTCTTCTTGATACACTTCCAGATGTTCCTGATACCTTGGATCTTGCAAGAAAACAGATGTGCTCGGAGTACTTGACAATCCTCGACAATCTCACTTTGAATGAGGGACCAGGAAATGGAGAGCACAGAAATAAGAAACTTTTTTTTGGTTGCACTTGATCATTCTTGAATCTTGACACTGGGGACAAAGACTTGGGCAAGGTTCCAAACTGGCTCTTCCACTTGAAATCCATTCTTATGTCCCTATGTGCACATTAAGGTGAGCACTAAGCCTAGGTCTAGTGTTTCAGTTTTAAATCTCAATTCCCTTGCTCAGCTTTGGGGCCAAACTCTTGCGAGGGAATAGACATGCACAGCAGATCAGTGGCCTTCTTTCAGGATACCTGTTTCCACTAAATGTGTGAAGAAGCCAAAGATTAGACTAGACGTTTTGGCCAAGAGACCCACTAATTAAGCAGCAATGTAGCCCCACCCCGACGAAGCATATTTCTTTTTGTTTAGCACTTTCACAAAACATTGCCACTGTGACCTGAAGTTATTGCTCATGCTGTTTGGATTTTAGACAGCCATTTCTTCAGGTCAAAGTCTAAGCCCAGCTTAGGTTCCTGGAAGAGTTGTTCAAAGGATGTCTAAGATGGGAAAAGGATGTGAAGGGTGGTTCGGTAAGAGTCTGCACTGAAATGGAGCACTGGCAACTCTAAATCTCAACCTGGGTTGTACCCATAGATGACTTAAACACGTTTTTTCTCCTGTCATGCCTCCCTTCCCCAAACAAACCTCTTCATTCTACTGATCCAGAGACAGCTGCATTTGACTCATCTAATGCTTGAGAACTGAAAATGCATCTTTTGTTATAAAGGTTCTCCAGTACAGTGGGCTGCTAACCATGCTTTTCATGGCTTCAGGGATCATCTCATCAATGAAATTATCAACTTCAATTACCAATTAAAGCTGTTTAGTACACAAATCATCATAATTTATGATAATTTTAATTTGAATAACTGGGAAGCTTTTATTCAGTGTAGCAAGCAGCACCTGATAAAGTTAGTACATATTCTTGAAACTGTCAGCTGTACACATATTGAATGTAACTGTAATGCTGCTGGACCTCTGGGCTCCCTGAAAAGAAATGTGACTCCATAGGTACTCTTATAGCTTGGCTGCTGACCAGTTTAATATGAGCTGAACACACCATCCACACATAGGGCCCCTAGGTGGACCATCAGAAACAAAGGTTGGTTCTGGGGCCTCTGAAAGGGCAAGCAGTGAGCTTTCGTGCTCTGAGGTTAGAGGTGAACAGCCAAGAACATTGGAAAATTATTCTTCTACTGTCCTGCTGAAAACAGTGTCCTGCAGATCATGTGGAGGCTATGCTTATTGTGGCTTCATTTTTCTTTTCATTTTCATTATTTCACCCACCAGACTTAGGCCAGTACCACTGCAGGAGGTGTTAGGGTGACAAACCACCAGAAGGAACTGAGCCACATGTAGCAGAAAATAGAAAATGTAACTATTTGTGTTGGCATACCTGAGGAGCAGGGTGGAATAAGACCCCTGGAGCCTGTGTCACCAGCAGTGGTCATCACCTGGGGTCCTTAGATTTGGCAGTCAGGTGGTAGCAGTAATATCCCAAAGTTAGAAGTGCTTCTGCTGTGTCAAGCCACCCCTGTGACGGGAATTCTGTACAAATCATGGCAGTGCTCTCCACCAAATGTTCTGCAGGAATAAAAGGCAAAATAAATAGTAAGTGACTTAAGTGAGGCTACTGGCTTGCTTCAAATTATTCCAAATTAAGTCATTTTTGAACTTAAAACCTTTGGTTTAAAATAAACCAGAAAGCCATCAGGGAAGAAAAACCTGAGTGCCACAAAAACCGAGCTGTGAGTTCAAGGATATGATTCATTTTCCCCTTTCCTCTCCGTCCATTCGGGGGCCAGCAAAATCCATCTCTTACCCGGCCGTTCTTTACTCTGAAACTTGGAGTAATGGGAGGAACAGAGGAGTTAATGTGACAGCATGTTTGTAGAAGGCTCTGCCATGGGTGTCCTGTGAATTGTTCTTGATATTCCTCAGCTGGTATCCTGTTTCTCTGAGTACAGACAGGCGTGTTGTGGCCATACAGATCTTGTGCCTAAACAATATGCCTGTGTAGTATTAATGTGAGGCTTGGGCTAAATCATGTTTCTCTAGTTCTTTGAAGCCAGTATCTGTACGGCACCCCCCAACCACACAGACATACGAGCACACACACGCGGCTTCCAGGATATGGCATGAACAGCTGAAGAACCTGTGACTGCTATTTTTGTTGTTGATGCCCATTTTCACCACGTCCAGCATGTGCTCTGAACTGACTGCTTCCAAGAACGTCACCCTTCTCAATGTGTGTGGACATTAATCTTCCAGAGAGGAATTTAAATGGCAGGGTGGACCCCTCGAGCTAATATAAGGGAGGTGATGCCCTGCCTGGTTTTAATTAGAGCTAGCTTTCTTAATGAGGTAATATTCTGTTGTGCTGGGTTATCTCCTGGAAGACAGGGCAGCAGGCAAGCTGTTGGGGAGGGACACTTGAAAAACATCACAGGCAAGCTGTTTAATGTTAGCGCTATCATTCATCACCCGGGCTCTTCGGAGAGTCTGACAGACGGAGCACGTCCTGTGGGGACTCCGTCAGCCTCTGGCGTGCTGCTTAATGCAATTTAGCCAGATGTATCAAAGCGGCAGGCGAGACCCTGCTATTTGGACAGCATTTATAGCATCCCGGGCAAATAGTCAGGAAATGTTCAATAATGTGCCTCGCACAAGTGCGGCAAGAAGCAGATTCTTAGAATGACAGGTTGCCAAGAGAAATCCTGGCAGTGCCTCATTCCAGCTTTCAGTCACATGCTGGTTTTGTTGTTATTGTTTGAGGGCTTTTTTTTTTTTTTTTTTTAAGGGCTTTCACAGTCTCAGGTTTCCAAAGACCAGATTTAAGGTGACTTGAATAGGTCCATCTGGTTCCCGATCCAGGGGATGAAAGCGCCCGGCAGAACCCCTGGCCCACGCATGCACAGCGTGGAGCTGGGCACGGGGCCCGCTGGCAGCGCCGGGGTTTTCTCTGCACAGCTCTCCGTGTGCTAGGCTGACCCCTGCAGCAGCCCCAAAAGCTCTGTTCGTGGTGCAAAAGGGGTCGGTGTTGGCTGTGCAATCAGAGTGGAGAGGTCACTACAGATGGGGAGTTTAATGGAGACCCTGGTTACTCCCAAATTTTGCAGTCCAAATTTGTTGCAGTCCCTTTCCCCACGAGCTCGTGGACACCCCCAGATGTGGCTCTGGTTCTCCTCCTGGGCTCCAGGTGTGTGCCATCTCCCCATTGCTCTCAGGACAGCAGACAGCCTGGGGAAAACCTTGTTCTGCTCTTTCCTCTCTGGGTCCTGCTGCCCAGACCAGCTGCCACGGGAACCCTAGCCATGAGCCACGCAGGTGCTGAAAGCAGACAAGTTTTGCAGCGCTGCTGTTTGGCGATTTACATCTCAAACCTCTTTGCCAGCGACGGGAGAAAAGAACAAGGTTACAACGCTGCCCTGCAGGCTGCTGGCAAAAAGACGTACAGCCTCCAACAGACCTGGAAAGGGAAGGGCTGTGGTGTGTGTTCTTAACCTAAAGGACAAAGCCTCGTTAAATTCCCCCTTATTTTTATTTTTTGCTAAACCGAAGGTGGAAGACTGAAGCAAAGCTCTCCCCAAAACCACCTTTCTCTGTTTGTCCCCGGAGGCAGCACCGCAGCGCGGGTGAGGGACAGACACACAGCCCAGGCACCTCCATCCATGCCGCGGTGCCTGCTTCACCTGCAAATCCAGCTTTGGCTCAGGGCTGGTGCACAGAGATGTAAAATCCAGCTGGGCCTTGCAGCCTTGGAAAGCTCTTTGATGATAATTCCAGCAACAGAAACGTAGCATATGCAGAGCCTTGGATCCTGTTGCTAATAAGTCTGCTTTTACACCACTCTGCTACACTTATTAACTTCCATTTACATATTTTTCCAATAATCTTTTTAACATGCGACTAGATGACCATAAATCCCGGAGGGTGAGGAGTGCAGGGTATGTTGGAAGAACAAGTGCTTGGGACTGGGTTTAACCCTTCGGGTACTGCTGGGATCCTGAGCAGCCTCGTCCTGTAACCCCAGCAGAGGCAGGTGGCAGGGACGGGCGAGTGCTCTGACAGGAACAGATTTTCTTCTCATGGTGTCCCAAAACAAATACAAAACGCAGTGCCGCTGCCAAGTCCCAGGATGCAAATTAATGCAGAACGGGGCACTTGAAATGTTTTTGCTAACAAGTACAAACCGTGGTTCTGCGGCGATGTTCAGCTGTTGATGAAATCCCATCTGTGGATTTCGCAACCAGGTAGGCTAAACCAAATGGCTCTCCACTCTTCGGGGAATGTGATGAGGCAAAGGAAATCTGGTGTGGCTTGCTAAGGCAGGACGGAATGGGGGCAGATGGTTAGAGCATGAGAAGTGCCGTCTCCCACTGCACAGAACAAGGGCTCAGCAATATCCAGAGTCAGGGACTCCTGTGCAGAAACAGGAGATTATCCTGGGGGCAAGGAAGGCACTGAATCTGTAGTTGTCAGTTCTCTCTCTACTACCTTTGGATTTCAGACTTCTTTCTGCGAGAAACGGTGACCACTAGGAAGGCTGCTCAATACATATGTTTATACATACACACACGTATTTGCTTCAAATTACCCAGGAATAACAGTTTCCTCTATTGAGGCAGCTGCATAGATGACCGAACAATTTGTCTGTTCAAACATATTTCAGTCAACTTTCCCTGGCTGATTTGGCAAGAATTTTTCTTTCTACGACTGGATCTCCTCCAATAACAACTTAGACAGCCCTTTGACTCCAGGTCACGGATGTATGGCACGGGAGGAGTCCTTCCATTTGTCTCTCTAGAAGTAATGATGCAAAAACCAGAGGACTGTCATGGTACTGGCTGAGAAGGGGGGGTTGAATTGTTTGTGCCACACACCTGCATGTCAGCTGGACCCACACGACAAAGCAGGATGCAGGACAGACCATCCCAAAGATCGGCTGTTAGACTGGCACTCGAGGGTTCAAATCCTCATAAACATCCTGGATAATCACCTAGTTTTGCTTCTGACTGCATGGAGGTAACTCTTCACCCCAAAAGGCTGCTGTAAGGGCCCTATCTTGTTATGGCTGGAGGACTCTGGTTAGCGAGGAGCATTAAGGGAAAGGGATCTCTGTCCCAGGCAACCAAGCAAGATAGGAAATAAGATCCAAGATCTGAAATAAGATGCAAGATCTGAAACAAGATCCAAGATTTGAAACAAGATCCAAGATCTCCCAGCAGCTGCGAGGGCGAGCAGAAGGGGGTAGGTCTGACCATCAAGAAGCTGAGGTCCTCTCCACCTCTCCGTGTTACCTTTTTGTGACAACGCTGCTCAGACTGCAGCCAGAAAGCCATTTTACATGTGTAAATTTATCCTGCTCTCTTCAGCTTGGAATTACAACCATCTGCAAATGTTTCGCATGCCCCAGCGTAGAAGCTAGAAGGAAATGTGGCCTTGATTAGTATCTGTTAATCAATTTCCATCTCAATTAAATGCTGTTGTGCCAAATACAGGGTGAGGCCACGCAGTTTGCGATGTACCAAACCTTATGTTGCTGCTCTGCGTGAGGAAACAAGACCCCGGTCTCCAAGTCCTAGCGACTTTCACAAGCAGTAAAATGGTATTTTTACAAGATCAGCACTTCACTTTTCTGCAGCCATTTCCTTAATGACTTAGGGCAGATGACTTTGGGCAGTCTGCTGGGGCTCGGAGTTTGATAAGGACCCCTAATCTCAGGCATGCAGCTTAATCTCCAAAAGCTGCATTTCAGCACTGCCTAATCGCATCAGGCTCTTTTGCCCTTGCCAGTCCATTACCCTGCTGCGGGGTTCTAAGATCTCGGTGGCGTAATGACATCTTCAGACCCGTCTTTGCTGCATTTCCAAACTCCCCCTGCAATCCCAGAAGGCTCAGAGCCTATAATATTATTTTAATTGCCAGTTCACTGCTTTAGGAGCACCTTCTTTCTTAACTTCTACCCTGCTTGTCGTGATGAGATCTCTTGCAGATGCAGTTAATCAGAAAGATTACAATCACTCTAGAAACACCTGCATTGGAAATAAGTCTGGCTTTTATTAGTATGAATTCCTACTGCTGACAAGCTCTGGGAGGAGAGGATGGGGGGAAAACCCAAGATCCCTTTACACAGCTGGAATATAAATGTGAATTTTTCTTCCTATTTATTTTTCTTCTGTAAATGATTTAGCTGCTATTGATGAAGATTACCACCAAATAAAAAGCAGAATCTACTGGCTTGTGTTGTTGTGTGCAACACACCCATAAAACAAATGTATGCCTCCACCACTGGAATAGGCCATCCTTTTAGCCATGACACGTACGGAACTGGAGGTAGCATTCATCGTCCGAACCTCAAGAGCAGCAAGGATCCCGTGTTCAGACTCCTTATTACATGGGGAAGACAAAACTGACGTTCCAGTGCCCTGCATCCTCTTTACCCTAGGATATTAAGAACAAACACAAAAGACTGATCTCATTAGTTGTAGCAAGTAGGTACAATAGGAAAGTGAGAAGTGCTTACTGCAGGTTAAAAAGACAATCTTAAACCTGATGCAAGAATTTTGAATCTTATTTCTGCTACTAGTCCATGCTCCCTGACTGTTGGGTAAGTGCTGACATGGTTTAAAAGTTTGTATTTCTTGGACACAAAGCCCTGCAGTATTGAAGGGTTCAGTGTTTCAGAAACTCTGGGTTCAGGTAATAAAAGAGCTTGTAGTCCTGAAATCTGCCAAAACCGAAAATAAAATGCCATCCCTCTTGAGAAACGGAAGGACATTCAAGTCCTTTGGGACACTTGAAGGTAACAGTCCAAGAAAAAGCTCGAGGTGTTCAAATTTATTGAGGAATGTTAATCTACTAAACTCTACAATTGTCCTAAGCTCTGGACACAGAAATAGAACCTTTTAAAATCAAAATATTACATGTAAAAACTGTGAAAGATCTTCATAATTATTTTTATCACAAAAAAATAATAATAATAATACTTATGCCAGTCACCTGCTAACATAAGAAAAAAAAAAGTGTCATTGTCTCATGGACCAAATTCTCAGTCCATGCAGTCAACGTGAAATGCTCCCAATTCTCTACATCGTGCTTTCTCTCACTGGTAACAACTCAAACCTCATGTATGCTCAAAGAAATGATGCAGTGGGGGATAGTCTGTCCCACTGCTGCTGCAAGAGTTACAGGGAAGAATTTCTAATACAAAAGCAGAAAATATAGCCCCTTTACTGACTCTTGATGTTTTCATCCACCTTTCCCAGATTCTCAGGCTGTATAACTTTTCAGAAACCATCAGGGACTGGGCTGGCACGATTCCTACCCGATTTGAAATGA